AGACCGGGATAGATCGGGATGGGACAGGGATGGACCGGGATAGACCGGGATGGGACAGGGATGGACCGGGATGGACCGGGATGGGACAGGGATGGACCAGGATAGACCGGGATAGACCGGGATGGGACAGGGATGGACCGGGATGGGACAGGAATGGGACAGGGATGGGACAGGGATAGACCGGGATGGGACAGGGATGGACAGGGATGGACCGGGATGGGACAGGGATGGACAGGGATGGACCGGGATGGGACAGGGATGGACAGGGATGAACCGGGATGGGACAGGGATGGACAGGGATGGGACAGGGATGGGACCGGGATGGACTGGTATGAGCCTGGGATGGGACAGGAATGGACAGGGATGAACTGGGATGAACAGGGATGGACAGGGATGAACCGAGATGGGCCTGGGATGGGACAGGAATGGACAGGGATGAACCGGGAAGGACAGGGATGGACCGGGATGAACCGGGATGGGCCCGCGATGGAGCGGGATGGACAGGGATGGGCCAAGATGGACAGGAATAGGACTGGGGTGGGATCGGGATGGACCGAGAAGGGAGTGGCGGGAGAGAGGATGCTCCTCGGGGCCTCTCGGTCCCGCGCTGCTCACCGCGCCCGCACGCAGCTCCGGGTGTTTCCTCCCGCTTCCCCCGCACGTGTTGGCGTTTAAGAAGAGCCGGAGTCTGGCACGGCTGGGTGCGGGTCAGGGCTTCGCGTGTAAACCCGGGGAGGCTACGGGTGTCCCGTGCTAACTAACGTCATTTCGGAACCGCGAGTCCGACACCTCCGGGATGAAAGCAGCTGCGCGGAACCACGGCGGGCCGGGCCGTGCAGCGCCCAAGGCGGGGGGGTTCGGAGAGAGGGAGGAAGGGACTCTGAATTAGCGTCGAAAAGAAAAAAACCCCAAATGGTGGTCCATGATCGCTGTTCCGGGGCAGGAGAGAGGAACCCGGGCAGCAAGGCCTTTTCCCGGTCCTGGTCCCTGTCCCCCGCTTCTGAGATGGGTCCCCGGCGGCACCACTGCTGGCCCGGCTGTGCAGGACCGAAATAGAGGGGTGAGGGTTTCAGGGCCCGTCTTCTCTTTGGGGAGGCCCGTGGGAAGCCCCTCGCGTATTTGCCCAGCTCTGGATCCCCGGCTGAGTGGGGAGAGAGGCCCCGTTCACGCGAGGCTCCGGGTGCTCGGGGGAGCCAGGCCTGCCTGCGACACCTCCTCGGATGGGATCCACCTGCTCGGCAGAGGCCGGGGGGCCTGAGCCCGGGCTCTCCCGGAGCCCCCCATCCCGGCCCAGCTCCTGAGAGCCCCGCTCGTCTCGGCGCTTGGCGGCCCGGGATCCCGTCCCTCCCGCCGAGGACTGCACTCCTATGAAGGGCTCGCAGCACGCTCAGACATACTGACGGGGGTTTAGGGCGTCCGGAAAAGAATTAAATTAGGCATTTCACCCTCTCCTTTAAGTCAGTCAGCCCCCCTCCAGACACGACCTGCTTGGGTCACGTCTCCTCCCCGCTGTGGTCACGAATCCCTGGGATGGGAGAGAGAAGAGGGAGACGGATTCTGCCTTGAAAAGAAACTTAAGGAGTCTGAAACTTGCCTCACCTCCACCCTCATACCCGAGAAAGTTCAGCCTGGTTCAGCCCCTGAACAACCGTCTTACCCCGAGGTCTCCCGCGTCTGAGACCTTCCTCTCATTTTCTTCATCTTTTAAGGGATGAATATTAGTTTGGAAATCCGGAGCTAGTGCCTATGAGGCCAGTCATGTAATCTGACTGCGAACGTAGTGCACCCCTCCCTCCGAGAGAGGCTGCCTCTCAGTGCGCTTGGAGCAGATCGGGGATTTCTGGGAAGGAAGCCCCTGCCAGATTTTCTCCATGTAGACGCCAAGAGGACAGCGAGAGCAGCCTGTCAAGACCTTGGGCAGGAAAAGTTCAAGAGAGGGGCTTCGGGAGGTGTTCCCGGGGCAGGCCGGGCTGGAGCTCAGCGGCCGCGGCCGGGCTAGGAGAGGCCGGGGGTTGTGCGGGAGACACCCCAGAGAAATGGCCACGGCGACGAGTGGGAGAATGATGCGAAAATTTAGGGAGAAGAGGAAAATTCTGGGCAATCCTATCCCGAGTCCCCTTGGTTTTTGTTCTGACTGTCCCCGGCCTGTTTTGTCTCTGACAAAATCCAGAGATAGCTTGTGCTCTCTCCAGGCTCTGCTTGGGATTTTTCTGCGTGTGTGTATCCCCGCGCACACGCACACACACACACGCAGATATGTGTATGTGTGTACAGAGCATACAGAGCGTGCAGGATTTGGGGCTGCACCGGGACCTCCAGGGTGCTGCGGCCGAGATCACCCGCGCTCCCGAACGAAATGGGACTTGGCCGTGGAGAGCTCCTCACTGCAGCTGTAGCCTCCTCCGCTCGGCTCCAGAGCAACGGGACGCCCCTTCGGAAAGGGATTTTAAGCTGGAGGATATTTCCTCGGCGGTAAAGACGGTCGAGGGAAATTTACCGAGCGTTTTGGAGGGTTATTCCCTCTCTGCATGTGTGAGGTTTCTTTTCAAATGGATATAATTCCTCCCTCCCCAACTGCTAAATTGCTTGATGCAGTTTTCAAAGGAGCCCCATGATTGTGTCAGGATGTCTGGAAAAAAAAAAAAAAAGAAGTAAAAAAAAGGAGTTGAAGTTTTTCCAGTTCAGATTCATTCTTCAGTCCCGGAGAAGCGTAAATACGCAGATGCAGAACACGGCTCTTCCTAGGAGAAGAATAAGTTTCTCTTGTCTTTTTTCATTTTCAGTGTTCTGGAACCAAGAGCCCAGTCGAAATCAGCACTTCAAACACCCGTCGTATTTAGGGCACTTTCTCAGCCTTGCTCGTGTCCATAACCCCCGAGTTTTGCGAGAAGAGCTGTAGTTACTGCCGGTTGAGGGGGGAAAAGTTTCGCGGAGAAAGGGTGAGGGGACTTAAAAAGTTAAGATATTAGCAATTCACGAGGGATACGAGTGGGGCTACAGACAAATCCTTCTCTCCCTTGCCCGACACTCTCAGCTCAGTGGGGTCGGAGCTCTGCACCCCGGGTGTCTTCGGGCTGCAGAGGTTTTTCCAAACGTGTGAGACCTGAGAGAATGGCACTTCGCTGCAAAATCTGTCCAAAGACTTGAGTTACGCCGTATAAAGCTCTCTCTTGCTCTGCTCTGCTCTCGTATGCACGTGTGGGTACGGATGTCTATACGTACAGCCGCCCCATGCCTGGAGATCAGATTTACATTTCCTACATGAAGTGAACTTCTCCCCCCACAAAGTGCACACAGCGCGGGGTACACAAAGGGAAACACGGCCTCGAACAAAAAGCAAGAACAGCCGCATCCTTGCGTGCCCAACGCTGTTTTGTCACTTATATTTAGCCTGTCGATTTGGTATTTTGTTAAAAATATCGGCAAGCTGCGAACAGATGCTTTTAGTAGAAAGCGGGGAACGCGAATAGAATTCATCTCGCCCTTTAGTGGAAACAAGCGTTCAGGCGGCGATTTATTTTTTAGCGTATTTTAATGCGGCGAAGTAACGGATTCTTTGTGTATAAAGTGGAAAGAAAATAGAAAACAAGGTCCGGGAACGGAGGAAAGAAACGCTAGACTGGTTTTAAGACTCCCCCCATCCCTTGGTTCAACAGAAACATTAATTTACATTAGCAATTCCGCATCTTTAAGATAAATTACACAGCGGCGTAATAGATTTAAAACACGCCAGATTTTTTTTATCATTAATTGTAAATGTGCAAAATACCTGCTGGTACTTCACTTTAGAAGAATGTAATTGGCAAAAATGGGAGGCTGATGAATAGATAATAGATCCTTAACTACCAATAAACAGTAAGCACCAGCCAAGAGTATTAGGATGTGATCATAATTATTCTGCAGCCCCAGCCAATGAGAGGAGGAGAACTCAGCCCTAAAATCATCTCCGGACCCAAAGGTAAACGCGAAAATACGGACAAGGCTGGAACCGGAGACGTGATCCCCTGTCCCGTCTGCGAGCGCCCGGCGTGTCCCAGCCCCGCACGATGCAGCCGCCCTGCGCTTTGTGCTCCGCGCCGCGCGGGGCGGGCAGCGCGGGGCAGCCCAGGGGGAGGAAATAAGTTCGGAGGAGGACGACGACCCGTTTTCTCACCGGGACGAAATCTTTCCCAAGCGGGGCATCTCTCCCTGACGCCCCGGGGCGGATCAAGGTAACCTCGCCGGGCCGAGAGCCCCCGAAAGGCGGCAGGGAGAGGGGTGTCACGCTGGCCGAGGAGCCCAAACCCCCCCCGAGCCCCCTCCAGGAGATGCGGCGCCCTGCACCCCCTGCCCCGCTGAGCTGCCCCCCCGACCCCCGTCCGCCTACCTTGGTCTCGGAGCGGCGGCAGGGGAGGGAGGGAGGGCAGCGCGGCGGCGGAGGGGCGCGGAGCGGGGCGGGCGCGGCGGGGCGGGGATGGCGGCGGGGCGGGGGCGGCTGCGCGGGGCGCCGCGCTCCCCCCGCGTGGCGGGCGCGCTCCCGCCGCACTCCGATCCGCGGCTCCATCCCTCCCGATGGCGCTGCCCGGCGCTCGCCTCCCCTCTGACGCACTTTAAAGAGTCTCCCCCTTCAACCTCAAGGCGAGTAATAGCGACCAATCATCAAGCCATTTACCAGGCTTCAGAGGAAGCTGTTTATGTGATCCCAGCACTAATTAGGCTCATGAACTAACAAATCGTTTGCACAACTTGTGAAGGGGCCGATCACATCCATGGATTGTCTTTGGACTTAGGGGGGGAGGGGGGGACGACCGCCTTTTCCTTGCAGGAGGGAAACTTCTCCCAGCAACTTTTTTTGTGTGTGTGTGCGTGGTGCGTGTGTGTCTCCCTTTTGGGTACCGCTGGCTGCCGCTGCCTCCTTTTCCTCCAGCCCCTGTCTATTTATGTGTGTATCTATCCCTCCTCAAGTCACTCCCTGCTGCAAACTTCCCCGGATCGTCTCCCGCGCACCAGAGAGAGACGGGCAGAGATTGGGTCGGGGATTCTCGTCGCGGCAGCATGTTTCAGCCCACACCCAAGCGGTGTTTCACCATCGAGTCGCTGGTGGCCAAAGACAGCCCCTTGCCCGCGTCTCGCTCCGAGGATCCTATCCGGCCGGCGGCGCTCAGCTATGCCAATTCCAGCCCGATGAACCCTTTTCTCAACGGCTTCCACTCCACTGGCAGGGGGGTCTACTCCAACCCGGACTTGGTCTTTGCAGAGGCCGTCTCCCACCCGCCTAACCCGGCCGTGCCGGTCCATCCCGTGCCCCCTCCTCACGCCCTGGCCGCCCACCCGCTGCCTGCTTCGCACTCCACGCACCCGCTCTTCGCCTCGCAGCAAAGGGACCCCTCCACCTTCTACCCGTGGCTAATACATCGCTACCGGTATCTGGGCCACAGGTTTCAAGGTACGTGCAACTTTTCTTCTCCCTCCGATCCACTCTCCCTCCGATCCGCCCTCCCGGAGCTCCCGGCCGGCCCCGCCGTGCGGATTTTGGGGGACTGCGGTGGGCGGGCTGCCCTTGCCCGGAGCCGCGGGCTCGGCTCGACCGGGCCCGGGGTCTTTTGTCCCTGTCTCCCCCTCCGCCAAACTTGATGAGCTGTCAGAGACGAGGGGCTTGGGCTTCGTTTTGTTTTGCTGCTTTTTCCCGGTTTGTTTTGGTTTCTCGTGAAGAGGGGGCAAACGGGAAGGCAAGGCCGGCTGGGACTTCGTCAGCTTTCTGCCCCCATTAAAAGCAGAGGAAAAGGTGGATATTTTTTGTTCCGGTGTGTTAAAAGCTACAGAAGGAAGCGGCCCCGCAGAGCGGGGAATGGAGAGGTGCTGAAGCTGAGGTTCCCCCGGGAAGGCGGCGGTGCCCGCCGGGCTGCGGGGCCGAGCTGCGGGGCCGTAGGAAGCCCCCGCCACCGCCCCAAGTCCGCCCGCTGCCCTTGCTGGAGGGGGAGAAATGAAGCGAATCTCAGAGAAAGGAGAAGGGGAATGTGAGGGGGGAAATAATCCCAGCGCCGGAGCAGCACGGGGAGATGGGGCTGCGGAGGATAGCCGGGGAAGGCGCAGGGAGGGCGATCCCGACCGTGTGGGCAGCGAGGGGCTCCAAATGCACGGCGATTAATACCCGGTTGAAGGGAAATAACCGAATCCAATGGCGGACAATCAATAAAATCCCCCTTGTTTAACCCTTTATAACCAGCAGCGTCTTCCCCGAAGGGTGAGCTGATTTCTCCCGTAATGGATTCAGCTCCTGCCTCTTTCGTTATAGACAAACCAAACAACAAACAAACAAAAAAATCAACCTCCACTCGGAGGGATCTATCTGCTTTTTTTCCCCTTGTATTTTTATTTATTATTTCGGAACGAAAACAAACCGCCTGCATGTTGCATTTTCCCCGGCCTTCTGCAGCCGGGCCGCTGCAGCCGGGTTGGAAAAGGAGCCACTCTCTCTGAACCCAGGCGGTCTGAGACAAAATGGATTATTACCCTCTGAGAATAAAATTACAGGTTTCGCTCACCAAATTATTTGTCGCAGCCACCAGGCGATTGGTAACGAGGGCTAGATGAAAGGCGGAAATGTCCTGGTGTTGAGCCACAGTCTGATTTCAAACACACCCTCCTTCTCCAACGATTTTTAATGCACTTACAGCGAGAGCCCCTCGGTGCCTTTCCCACCTTGGAAGGGCCGACCCGGAGGAGCGGCACAGGGACACCCTGGAGGGAGATGCCCACCGAAAAGCCCCAGCTAACCCACCCCCCGCTCCGATGCGGGCCGGCAGGGATGGGATGGGATAAGATGAGATGGGATGGCCGCTCTGTGGCCTCTCCGAAGTTTGGCTCTTTATTTCCACGCCGGTTCCCGTCGCCGCCGAGGCAGCGTGGAGTGGGCAGTGGGCCGGGAACGGCGGCGGTGGAAGCCCCGCTCCGGGCAACACACCGGCAGGACTGAGGGAAGCAGAGGGAGAAAGGCCCCGGCCGAAGTTTTGGGGGAGGGAAGCGGAGACAGGCCGGGGGAGCGGCTCCCGGAGGCCGGTGGGCGGCCAAGGCGTCTCGGGGGGCTCGGCCAGGATGCCCCGAGCGCCGCTCCCCAGCTGGCCGCGACGGGAAGATGAGAACAACAAACAAATACGGAAAGATGTGAGGCTGCCGGTGGTCGAGGGGAAGGGGGGCAGCCGCGGGATGAAGCCGCAGACACCGCAGCCGGGCTCTGGCCAATCCTTTCCATTTTTTTTCTTTTCTTTTCTTTTTTTTTTTTCTATAGTCCTCCCCAGGTTGGGTTTTAGCATTTTAATTTCTCCCAGTCCTCTCCTTCCCCCGCTCATTTATCATTCCCCTCCACTTATTTATCAAAAGAAAATTCAATACCAAAAAAGCGCTGAAAAATAAAAAAGAAACCATAGTCGGATTTCTCCTGCGGATAATGGTGGGAGAAAAAAATTTCTTGTGCTAGAAAGTCCTGTCGAGCGCATTTGGGAAAGGTGTTTTGCTAATCTCTGTTTTACCCTGTTGCCCAGGGAATGAAACCAGCCCGGAGAGCTTCCTATTGCACAATGCACTGGCCAGGAAACCCAAACGGATCCGTACAGCTTTCTCCCCATCCCAATTACTGAGACTGGAACATGCCTTTGAGAAGAACCATTATGTAGTAGGAGCGGAGAGAAAACAGCTGGCACACAGCCTCAGCCTCACAGAAACTCAGGTAAGGGGGAAACATGGAACGGACAGTTGGGAAAGTGAAAGTACCGGCATCTCCTTTGGAAAACCCACCCGGCAGGGCCGAGATTCGAGCGAAAAATACGGGCAAATTCTAGGGGTGTTTAGGCCTTCGGTCTCGAGCCGGTGGAGCGGAGAGAGGGGTCCCCCCTCGCCTGGGTGTTGTAAAATCCTTTCCCGTTCGTGATTCCACCGCTTGTGCCGGGGGTCGTGGCCGGCCGTGGGAAGCCGCAGCGCTGGAGCAGGATTTGGGGTCCCCCGGGCAGCCCCGATGGGAGCCCGGGCCCGAGCGGGGAGGGAGTGGCGAGATCCGCGGTCTGCGGGTCCAACCGTTTTGCTGCGGGGCTGCTCCGACCCTCAAGAAGTAGTTTGATACTGGGGGGAAAAGCCACCAAAACAAATGGGGGGGAGGGGGAAGAACCCCCCTCTTTGGACCCTACGGCAGAAACACAGTTTCTTGGATGATTTTCCACTCGTTTCTAGCCCCGCGTCAGGCAGAGGGGATGTGAGGAGCCGGTTCAGGAGGACAGAAAGATGAAAAATAAAAGCAGAGAAATTATTAACGAGGAATCCCCCCCCTCCCCCGCCCTCCTTTCCCCCTCCCGCCGACTGGCTGCGGGCCAGAGCCGCACCGGAGCCTGTTTGTGTCGTGTATCTGGCGGGACGATCAGCGAGGTTCCCGCTCCGGTCGTCCCGGGGCGAGGGTCTCGCAGGTACCGAGGCCGGGCACTCTGGGGCAGCGCGGAACCGGCCAAGGGCTGCGGCGGGGGCGGGCACAGGCTCCCCCCGACGGCGGGGGACCCTCGGACGGCGGGCCCGCTGTGAGGGCGTTTTTCACGCGGTTTTCTCCCCGCCGGAAGAAAAGCTGGAGTTTGGAGGATTGGTGGTGGTTGTTGTTGTTGTTGTTGTGTCGGGCTTTTGTTTTGTGCCCTTCTAGGAGACTCGCGGAGACAGGATTCCAGATGGGGATTGTCTCTGCTACAGTATGTGGCACTGTACTAAGAAAAAAAAAAAAAAAAAAAAGCCAAAATACCCAGCCGCAGCCTAGTTCAAAGTTCCCAGTAAACACAGCGTTCTCTGGGCGGATTAAGTTGTAACACTTTTTTTTTTTCTTAACTCCTTTTCGTGGGGGAAGCAATAAAGAGGTTGGAGCTTTTGTTTTAAAATGTCTCCCTAACAAAACAATAAAAAGGGATCGCCACTTTTATGAGGTTCCCCGAACAAGGGACCGGTCACAGGCTTATTTCTACTGGAAAGCTGTATTTAAGGTGGTCTTTGTGCTGCTTGATTCCGAAGCTGGTTGGGGTCTTTTGTCCGGATGTCAAACCCCCAGTCCCCTACAAATGAGCTCCCTTTTGGGAGATCAGCGTGCAGAAATGAACCGTCCTCCCCTTCAATTAGCAAACTAAAAGCAAATTAAACTCACCCCTTGTTCCCCGCTCAGCTTTTTAATGGGGGACTTTTGGAGAATATGAAAATGCAGCAGAGATGTGTGTCCGGCCAGTCAGGTCTCTGTTCTGAAGAGGCAGCGAAGCGGGTTAAACCAGCTTATTAAAATGCTCCAGTTCTCTTCCCCCCCCCCTTGCTGAGGCCTTTATCAGGCACTTTCAGACAGAACCAGAGTTTAAACTGCTTTAAAAAAAAAAAAAGTGTTTACCTTTGGACGCTACAAGGAGTGTGACCAGCTCTGGAGATAGCTC